AGTGGAATGCTGCTTCTAGAGGCTTATTTCTAGAGGTTCCCTTATTCCAGGGTCTTCAACTGAAGATAAGGTAATGACTTATCAGATAGGTTTGTAAAGGGGATTCTTGTTCTAATTAGATTGGATGGCCCCTAAAGTCCTTTCCAAGACTGAAGTTTTGTGATTCTAGTCAGAGAGGTAAGAAGATTGTGAAGGTGGCATCTCTGTTTGATTATAAAGCTGGGATTACCATCAGATGTCAATTTCCCCTCCAGGGTAAGTCAGTGGTTCAGTGGAAGCCAAAAATGTAGTGTTATGTGACTTCTTCCCATCTTCTACCTGCAAAAAGTATAATCCACTATCCACAATAGCAGTACACTCTGGTGATTCCTAATTTTGTATACTAAACTATAGGACAGATTTCAGATAGATCCCAGGGCATTTAATTTAAACTATAAGCATCTTCAGAGATTTTAGAGGGGTAGGGGATTCTCCCAGATAGGTATGTTCCAGATCTAGTGGGCCTCCAAGATGAGATCCCCCCAGACTGTTAGATTATTAATTAGCATAACCTTTAGACAAAAAAGAAAGGACATTTAGAAAAGGATTAGGTCAGTTTTTGATGCATACAAATGCTTCTGCTGTACTGTCAACCTTCGGAGTTACAACCAATACTGCTTTTGGATTAGGCTCACTGCTGATGGCATTCCCTCTAATAGTTCCAGGAAACAACAACTCCCACAAACTATCCTGCTTGATTTAGGGAATGGCTAGGCTCATAGTTTCAAGGCACCCTATTTAATGCCTCCAGACCAAAGAACCTTCTCATTCTAATAGAAAACCCCATATTCTCCAGAGTTAGAGATTGGAAGATCTTCCCAAGACCTTCATTTGCTTTGTAGAAGTCAGCTTACCCCCTTCACTATCCTCCCCAGCCTTCCTCCCTCTTTTCCCTCCCCTGATGTTCTGGAGTCTGAGCCTTCATGATCTGGTCTACAGTACAGTCAGACAGTGAGAAGAGATTGATGCCCTGTCCTCCATGGAAAATCTATCACTGTTTGACTTGGGGGTCAGATGGCTTCACTGGAGTCAGTTTTGAACAGTACTGTACAATCTAAAAATAAAAATAAATACATGAACCCAAATAAAAGCAAAGACATCAGAGAAAGAAAATGCTCAGTTGGGACTATTCCCCAGGGCCTACCCAGAGCCTGCTTCTTCCTGGCCCCTTCCCAATTCTTTTACCCTCAACGGCTGTTCCCAGTGATTTCACTATCTTCCCTGAAAAGCTCCAAGGACAAAACTTTGGCTCTTTCCCTTGAGAAGAATTCTCAGAAGAGCTCTTGAAGGAATTGGATTAGAAAAGGAATTGTGAGGTAAGAACAGTGAAGGAAAAAAAAGTGTGCATGCATGGGGGTGGGGTGGACCTCTTTTCCTTTACCCTCAATCTAATCTGGTATCTGGTAGCAAAATGGGGCAGAAAAGGATCAGAGAAAGAAAAAAAAATTTACCTTAAGTGGCACTGTAGAGTCATATGTATTGAATTCAATTAGGATGTACAGAAGGCAGGTACTTGCTTTATGAGCTTTACCTGCCTAATTGGAGTCATTTCCCATCTCCTCATTTCTCACCCTCATGAAACTCCTTCTCTTTCCTGTGCTTAAGACAGATCTGCACTATTAACACTTTCTGAAGTCTAGACAATCAACAAAACAATAAATCAAGCCCTGATTTGTAGTATTTCCCTGATTTTTGAGGTGTAAATGCTCACATTGAAAATTTAACAATCAATTCTAGTGAGCTGGTTTGAGCAGGTTCTGACATACCCTCTCTTATTCCATGTTGAGTGCAAAGCATATGTGCACACAGGTTTTTAAATTTAAAATATTTACCAGATAAATATAAGATAATTGGGAGGGTGCTAACAGTTGGGGGAATTAGGAAAGACTTGAGCCTTGAAAGGAGCTAGGGATTCCCAGGGGTAGGAGAGAAGAAAGGGAAGCTTCCAGGATTGGCAGATGGCTGTGAAAAGACAAAGAGGCAGGAGAATAGGTTTAGGAGGGGTGAGACATAGGAAGAGATAGAAGGCCCAGGAGGTTATGGTCAGATAGGTGTTTCAGAGTTATTGGTTGTGGAGGTGGAATGCTTATCAGTGATAAGGATATAAAGGCTGTGACCATTCACAAGTGTGGATGAGGAGTACCATGGTGTCCTATGGTACAGACCACAGGAGGTTGATAAATGGGGAAGCAAGGGAATTTGTATGGAAATCAACATATAAATTCCCTAAGTAAAGAGTGATGGGTCAGAATGGAGACAAAATTGTGAAACAAGTCTGAACTCCTTAAGAAAGGGGAGAAAAAATTGTGAGATAAGTAGGTAACTGCTATAAGGATCTGGGTTGGGTAATATATGCAGATCAAGTGACTCTCAAGGAGGAAAGATTGCTGAGTGACAATAATAAGAGGAGGGTCTAGAAGTGTCAGTGAGCAGCAAGACACAGTTTCCATGATTTCAAACAGATAAAAGGAACATGAGAGGAAGAAATCAAATAACAAGGATAGTTTGTTCACAATTGAATGGTGGGAGGGGGATGAGTCATAAGGCTCAATGGAAGGGGAAGCCAGAGTGAAATTGAGGTGGAGCTGATACGGATGGGCATGAGGTACCAGGTACCAGCAAAAGAAGGGAATTTCTACTTGGGCATCCTACAACTCCAAACTACATGCATTTTGAGTGGAAGGAAGAGTTTGGTAGTTATCAAACCCTCGATTATTATGCTCTAGTAAGTAACAATGGTAGTTGTACCCCAGAACTCAGTAGAGACTTAATTTGATTATAATGGCCTAAGCAAAAAGTGCGAAGCAGGCAGGAGGGGAGGCAAGTGGCCTCCCCCAACCCAACACACTTCCCTTTTTACATCCCTATTTTTATTGAGCATACCACCATCTTTCCAGTCATTCAGGTTCACAATCTAGGAGTCATTCTCCACTCATTACTCTCCTTCACTTCCGATAGCCAATCAGTTGACAATAGCAAGTGGCCTGCTTGGGCCCTAGTCCTCGTTTCTTTCTGGTGGCCAGGGAGAAAGTGGCAGGAGCCAAGATCAAGATAGCAGGTGATTCATATGTAGTTCCTGGCTGGTTAAAGAAGATAGAGGTATGGCTGATTTACTCACCTCTCAATCATCAGTGAAGAAACTCTGATTTGGGGTTCACCTAATCTTAATGGAATTTGGTTTTTCTACCTCTCAGTGGGAAAGTGTTGTCACTAGTCCATGTTTGGATGCTGGGCTTGGTCTGTTTGTAGTGTCCAGGTGGCTTGGTGGTGAGGGACAGGGGCAGGAAGCCAGATGGCAAGAGTCCTATGTCTGGGCCCTAATCCTGCTCTGGGCTTAGTGTATAGGTAGTATAGTGGCAAGGGGAAGGTGATGCCACTCAGTTTTTCTACCTCAGGAGGGGTCAGTGACTCCTGTTGCTAAAGGAGGGTTCCAGGATCTCTCTCTCTCTCTCTCTCTCTCTCTCTCTCTCTCTCTCTCTCTCTCACACACACACACACACACACACACCCTCAACTCTCAAAAAAAGCCCCAACAACTTGCTTTTATGAAAACCTTTGGAAGGGTCATTTGGGAGCAGGCTGAAAAAAGCTAATGCTCTATGCAAATGCCACTACCCCTGAATCCTTCCAGATGGGTCATCTGTCCATCAGTCAGTCAATAAGCACTTATCAAGCTCTTAATATGTGCTAGGCACCAAAGTGCCTGGGGATACCGAGCTCTGGGGATACAAAGGCAGCTCTACTTTGAATTTATTCTAGGCAACTGTTAAAAAAAAGTCATAAAATATTAGAGTTGAGAACATGGAGGTCATCTAGTGCAATTCCTGCCTGAAGCATGAAATCTTAAGGCAAAGGAACAATAGGACTTTGGAATGAAACTAAAAAAAAAAAACCACACACACACACCACACACACACACACACACACACACACACCCTTTATTTCCTGTCACATTTTCTGTAGCTCACCTGGGACTACCTGACATGTTGTCCTCTGCTGTCAGTTCTATTTCCACACCCAAGTCATGTGAGATGTGCCTCTTGCTTGATCTTGTAACATAATAATATTAATATAGATCTCTAATGGGCTTCTGCCTACTGAACAATTAATGAAAAGGTCAATGGGTATTCCCTGTGGATGTATCTTTCATTACAAGACCTGTTCCTACCGCAATCTCATTGTAGCATTCTTTGGAAACAAGTTGTGGGGAGGTGGGGCTGAAAGTGGCGTCCTGTGGGGCTCTAATTAACTGGTTAAATGATTTGGAACAGTAACAGTCCCTTATATTTATCTAGGGCCTTTCTCTGAGAAGCTCCTGAGGCTTTCCTTACCAGAAGCTCAGCCATCTTCCCCACCCCTCCCAGATGGTAGGGAATAGTCAGATGATAAATTATCCCTTTTAGAGATCAGGTTTGACCTGCTTAAAGACTTATAGTAAATCTAGTATGATTTGGGGCCCAAAATGTTGCTTCCATTTCTAGGCCCAAGCACTATGCTGCTACAACATTCCTGTAGAAAATGATGAAGATGATAATGATGGCGATGATTGATCAACTGAAGATAGTTTATCATTTATGTAGCTCATATTTACATAGCTCTTTAAGGTTTTTAACATGCTTCTCCTAACAACACTGAAATGGGTAGTTTAGGAATAATTTTACCTATTTTGTTTTATAGTTTATATATATATATATATATATATATATGTATATATATATATATATACATACATATATATATATATATATACACACACATATGTATATATATTATTTTATAGTTGAATTTTATAGTTGAAGAAATAGGATCAGAGAGGTTAAGGTGTTTGTCCATGGTCACACAGGTTGGACAGTAACAGGGTCTGGACTTAAATGCAAATCTTCTGACCTCAAGATTCCAAGATTTAGCACAAATGTATAGGATTGTGCCCTCCTTATTTCCTCCCTTTCTTCCATCTGCAGATGTCCAGCACATTAAGAGGAGAGACATTGTGTTGAAGAGAGAACTGGGGGAAGGAGCTTTTGGGAAAGTATTTCTGGCAGAGTGCTACAACCTCAGTCCAACCAAGGACAAGATGCTGGTGGCAGTGAAGGTGAGTCCCAGAGGCATGTGGAAGCAAAGCAGCAGGGCTGGCTAAGAGCCCAGGGAGAGGGAAGAAAACCACTTTCTCCAATACGGGATATTGTGCTAAATTGATTGGGTTACATGGAATTGAAGGACCTTGACTCAAGGTCAGTTGCTTCTCCCCATCTCCAAAATACTTCTTTACTTTGGAAGCAGCCAGGGGGTATTGACACATGACACCACAGTGGGTGAAGCCTTAAAAGTAGATCCAAAACTGTAAATAGAAGCCCTTGACCTGCAGTTGGGTACTCTGGGCTTGCCACTTGTTCCAAGCACTAAATCTCTTCCATTTTTCTTCTTCCTCATCTTTGTCCTTACTTAGCAGCTTTACTGACAAAGCTGACATGAAAAGTCTTAGTGATAGAAAACCAACTTGTTATGAGATGAGCTTGTAGCATCTGCCATCTGCATCGTATCTTGGGGTCCCAGTGTTTCTCACTGGAATGGATCTCCCACCATTTCCTCCCACATGTCAACCTCCCTATGGATGCCAAGGTCCCAATGGGAGTTTTCCTATTCACTGAAAAGCTCCACACATTAGGAACACATATCCAGCTACCATCTGTGGTAGAGGCAATGGATGCCATTCACATTCACTCAGAGCATCAGTCGTTTTGTGTTTCTATAGCCTTGGGAAAAGTGCTCTCTGGGTTTTACAAAGCTCAAATGAGTTGTAGAGATGGGATATGCCCAAAGCAGGAGCTACATGGAAGATCCTTCCATGTTGGGGTTGGGCCCTCATGTGATCAGAGAAGGAGCTAGAGCTTTGGGAAAAGCAGGATAATAAGGTGCATGTGTGCATGTGTGTGTGTATCTGTGAGTGTATATATAAGAATGTGTACGTGTGTGTGTGTGTGTGTGTGTGTGTGTGTGTGTGTGTCTGCAGGCTAGCAGTTCTATTTCCTTGCCTGCATTAACTTGAAGAATCATGTTATCTTTCTGGGTGTCAATTTCCTCCTTTGCAAAATGAGAGGATTGTACTAGATGAATCTTAAGAAAAAAGCATTCTGAAAAAGATCCAGAGGCAGAAGACCTGGGTTCACATCCTAGATATGCCAGAACTCATTATTCAAATCACTTCACTTTCTGGGCCTTAGGAAGGCAGGTAACAAGTATTTATTAAGCACTTAACATGTGCCAGGAACTGTGCTAAGGGTTGGAGATACAAGTGCAAGCAAAAGGGAATACAGTTCCTGACCTTAAGAAGGTTACATTCTTATGGAGGAAGACAACACATAAAAGGAACATGAAAACTGGGTTGGGAGGGAGAGAAGGTAGCCATACAGGAGCAGGGCAGAGAAGTCTGGAGATGTAGAAGTACAGCCAAGAAGGAAATGAATCGTAGGCAGACTGGGATGGTCCCCAAGATGGAGGTCCCTGGTCAGAAGTCACCAATGGGAGAAGGGGCCAGTTACATGAGTATAACCCTTCCCTCCTTCTTTCCTTCCCTCTCATTCTCATTTTCTTTCCCTCCTTCTATTCCTTCCTTTATTTTTTAAATCTTTCTCTTCCTCTTTCCTTTTCTTCTTTCCTTCTTTCAATCAACAAGTATTTATTAGGTACTTATTACATTCTAGTCTAAAGTCTGTGGATACAAAGAAAAAAGCAAAAATCCCCCTGCCCTTAATGAGTTTACATTCTAATGGACAAGTGCCCAGTATTGGTTGACTTTGAAAATGACAGTTGCATTTTTATACTCATAGAAATATTATTGTTGATGTTCAGTCATTTTCAGTCCTGTCTGACTCTTTGTGACCCCATTTAGTGTTTTCTTGGCAAAGATACTGAAGTGGTTTGCCATTTCCTTCTCCAGCTCATTTTACAGATGAGGAAACTGAGGCAAACAGGGTTACGTGCATTGCCCAGGGTCACACAGCTAGTAAGTGTCTGAAGTTGAATTTGAACTCAGGAAGATGAGTATTCCTGACTCAAGGCCTGACACTGCACCACCTAGCTGCCATACTCATAGAAATACAATGCCTTTTCCCATATCCTTCTCTCATACTCACCAAGAGACTGTTCCTTTTTTTTTTTCAGGTGTGGGGTGGGAAGCAGGGGATCTCAGAGCCAAGAGACTCTGAATTTCCCCACCCATCTAGTCAATGCCCTATTAGAGTTGTCAACGTCTTTTAGAAATGGCTTATCACTCTGTGCTGAAGGACAAGTTTTAGACAGTTTCTGCTTCACTCATAAGCTTTCACTCATGTGTGGCTTTTGTGAGAAAAAATGGTATCAAACCCTCCCCACGCAGGAGCAATGGGACACCAAAGATGCTGTGCATATGGAAGTGGCTACATCCTCATTTCCTAATAAACAAGTTAGTTTGCTATCATTGTGACCTTTTCACCAGCCCTTCTAGGTCATCTGTCAATGTAAGTTAGAGTGGATCAAGAAAGATGGAAGAGATTCAATACTTGACACAAGTGGTGACCTCAGAGCTTCTAGAACAAAATCTTTCTCCAGAACTTTGATTGGTCCTCCTTCAGAGTAATTTTCCGTCTTCATAGAGTCATGAACAAGACTCCACTTTTAAAAAGCTATGAGTGTAAATCCATTGGCAAGCCTTTATTAAATATTGAGTAAATTCTCAATATAACCATTACTATTATTTATATAGCACTTAAAATTTACAAAGTACTCTCATTAAGTGTTTAATAATAACCGTAATAATAAAAAATAAAATATTATAAAATGAAAAATGCTGAAATGTGTAGAGCAAATTAGTTTCCACAAAACACTTTCCTCACAAAAGCACTGTGAGGTAAGAGGTCTGTTATTATCACTATTTTACAGATGAGGAAATTGAGATTCAGAAAAAGCTAAGTGACTTGTTCACTACTGAGATATGAGGTTGTACATAATTGTGTTATTATGGATTTTTAAGTGTGACTATAAAAATCAGTGAATGTTTAAGAAATATAACTGAATACAAACATATGGGTGAGCACTGTCCTCTTCAAAGTAGTCCCCTTGAAAGGGTTCTGCTACCTTTGCGTGAAATACATCTGGTACTTTTTTGGGAGTTAGGGTAATCACAGGACCATAGGCTTGAGAAGAGGGGGGGACTATAAAAATGATCTAGTCCAACCTCTTCATTTTACAGATGAGGAAACTGAGGCACAAAGGAGGGAAGTGTCTTGCCCAAGGTCACATGGATAGTGCTGGGATAGAAACCTATGTTCTTTGACTCCAGACCCATCATTCATCATGCTATACTGTGCTGGAATGTATATTCTTAAATGCCCTCAGTAGTGACAAATCATTGGTCTTTGAGAGTAGTTTTGATTTTTGGAATCTGTCAAGTAGCAGTTTTATCCTTGAGCTTAGACTAAAAAGCATGAAGTGCCTTAAATTAATAAAACTTTCCGATGAGTATTCCACAAGTAATCTAAGCCATGACAGACAGCATCATTGAAAGAAATTGGTAGCCTCCCAAGGAAAGTACTAAAAAGAAGACTGTATTCTTATGGAGGGATGAGTTCTGGCTTGTTTATTGGTAAAAAAAAATGATCATTTTATAGTCACACATTGCATAAGTGCTATGGATGTCCAAAGGGAGGCCCATGTGAGGGACACCTAAACCAATAGGACATGGAACCCTTTGATTATGGTGATGCTCTCCACAGGTAGAGGCTCTCATTAAAAAAAGCAGGGATTCTTGTCTATGACACATACAGCATTTAACAGCTTTTCAGCTGGGAATGAGCAGATCCCTTTCTGCTCGATCACCAGAACCCCTTCTCAAGCCTTTGGTGGTCTCTCAGACACCCCTTGGCTCCATTGAGCTTTACTTAGCTTGCCAAAAGTTGCATTGTTTCCAGTGCATAATAAATAAGAGTAGAAAATTGTTTGCTGCTCAGCTATCCCTCCTTCTTTCTTGGATAGAAAAGCTTATGGAGCTCAGCTAATGGCACTGGCGGTTGGCTTTGAACAGTGTAGGAGAGTAATTCCTTTTATAAACCAAAAAAGTCTGTTTACTTCTCCCCTTCCCACACACTCTACTGCAATGTATGCAGCATGTGTGTGTGTGTGTACATGTCATGTACACATTTGAATATTTCCAAAAATCCATGATTTATCAGTACACATGCTTGCTCCACTGATGCAGATTATAGACGGTGTTTTTTTTATTTAATTTTTTTCTGTGCTTCGTTTTTTATTAATAGTTACTGACATTCAAATAAATACAAGTAAAAAATGATCCTACGCAAAACCATGTACTCCAAGTTGTTTACAGTTTAGTTCAAAATGTGTATATTAATTTTTAACAAAATAATAACAAAACTACCCTGTTTGTTCCATACAACTTCTGTTCCCTTTTAACTCTATGGATATTCTCAGATTTTATCATTATTATTATTATAATTATTATTATAATTATTATTATTATTCCTTTATAATATGTTCTCATAATGTTTTCTTCATTCTGTATCCCTGTCTTAAGACAATAATTCTTCATGAGCTTCCATGGCCAAAAAAAAAAAAAAAGAAAAGAAAAGAAAAAGGAAAAAAATCATCACTTAGAGGCCAAGCTTCTGCCGATCAACCTTTCTAAATTTTGACAGGATACTTTTATGATGACACATACAAACAGCCCATTTCTAGGGGACTTTCTAGTTTGGCAGGATTTGTTAGAATTTGTGTTTTTAAGAAACCAAGGACACCTCTGTGCCATGATAAAGCTTCTGAGGAGGATCTCAGGATTTTGAGCAGGGAAGAATTATGTTGGAAGTTATCTCATCTACCACTCTTGTTTTGGAAACTGAGACCCAGAGAGATGAAATGACTTGCTCCAAATTACACGTGTATAGCAGATAATATGTATAGTAATCAGGGGCATCTCTGATTTACTGCACTGGGTCACCTCCCAAGGAACTAGATACATACTTTGAACCAGCAATCATGGTTGTATGTTATACACACATACACACATACAAACACAACACATATATAGGAATCATTGTGATG